GTTCCTGAAAGATCTTCTCTCAAAGAAGCAGAAGCTGAGTGAGTTGGCCACTGTGGAGCTCAGCGAGGAGTGCTCGGCCATTCTGCAGAACAAGCTTCCGCCGAAGCAGAAGGACCCAGGTAGTTTTACTATCCCGTGCTAATACTCGCCCTGCTTCATCGCCTTTGCATGCTGTTTCTCACCAGGAGCACGAGTCTGTCGTGTATCCTTCTGTGCTTCCCATTTTGCAGGATCCCCCTCCCATATTTTCGCCGCCACTCCTGTCCACTCCGTCACCAAAGGAAAAGATCAAGGGGGAGTGGCGGCCGAAACTGCAGGTAGCTAAGCCTGCTCACAAGAAAGCCGGAGACCACTATGAGCTGTTCCCGCCTCCTGAGCCTCGACCACCTTGGCCATCCGAGTATTCACTCGCTTGCATCATGCCGGATGGCCAGGTCGAGTTGACGAGTGCTGGTGGTCACACCCGTCGTGGGCATGGCCACCATCTGAAGTTGTACCTCAAGAGTGATGTGGATCCGCTCTTGGAGGCACCTGTTCCTACACCTCTCTGAGTATCCACCCTACTGGCTTCCAGCTAAAAGACGGTAAAGAAGCGCTTGTGGGGAGGCAACCCCACCAAGGTTTGTTTTTCTTTCGTTTGTTTTCGGTTTGTTCACTTGGAACTATGGTTTCTATCACCCAGTGTGTTTTGCTGATGCTAGCCCCGCTGACTGGTCCACTTTCAATCCCCCGACAGTCTTTCCTTCCCGTAGCATCGTTCCCCTTATCTTTCCCTCTGCTCCATTGAGGGCAATGTCGAACTTAAGTGTGGGGGGGGGGTGCTTTGTATTGGTTGGAATCTGTTTATGTGTGCTTGGAGCCTAGTCCACTGTCCAAATCTCGAGATTTGAGGGCTCCAAGTATTGTTGTTTGCATGATCATATTGGCACTGTGATTTGATTGGTGAATCGAATGGTTTTCGGATTATTGCATGACAGCTTGATTGTAACTAGGACAACCTATGATGCTGACAGAGATGTGCAGTAGAATTGTGTAGGGGTTCAGTTTTTCAACTGTTTGCTTACCAACTGTGACTTGGATTGATCACTTGTTCTTGACAGTCATTTATGCATCTAGTTCAGGGAATCAGAATGAGAGATAGAACATATAGGTAGCCATGTGAGATTTGAGCCTGCTCGTTTCTTTCTTGTGCGATAGATCCCTCTTCCATGATGTGTAGCATTCACGTTGTCACTAGCTAAGATGATGGAGGCATAGGATTAGCCCACGACCAAATTGACTGTCCTGACGTGTCATATCCCCTAGTCAGCCCTTTGAGCCGTGTGTTATCCTTTCTTTCGGTCTACAATGAAAAATCACCCTTTTGCATCTTTTAGAAGGTTCCACAGAGTGGTTTTTACATGTTCTCTGCTGTTTCTGCTAAATATAATGTGAGGGTTGGAGGTAGTGCTTAAAAAATTGGGCATGTGTTTGATTTATGTGCAGAGGTAGTGGTTCTCTTAAGAAATGAAAAAAAAATGAAAGAAAAACAAAGAAAAAAAATGAAAGCAAAAGAGAGCCACTACCAAAAATCTGAATAGTGCCCATTAAGTAGTGTTTCTTAGCAGTCTGGCTTGGAAATGCTAACATTTATATAACCTCCTTCGCTCTTGTGCTCTAAAGAATGTGAGTAATGCAGAATGGCAGAAAGAAAGTAAGTGGTTTGATTAACTGTGATTGTGTTGAGTTTGGAACTGTGGAACCTTGTGCTATGAATACTTCCACCACCTAAAAGGCCTTTTCCCCATGTCCAAGACCCTAGCCAATCATCTGAACCTGTGTCTAAGATCTCCGGATTAGTTAGTGGTGACACCCCATATGTGAACTCTAGCATTTAGAGGCTGTCGTCATGGTCAAGAGATGTTAGGGATTGAGAGAATAAGCATGCGCATTTTTCGCATCAAATTTTCCTGACCCCACTGGTCGAGAGTGAGCGATTCATTTTCTCATATTATCTACACTCTTTACCCCGGTGAGGACCTAGATTGCTCGGTCTCGATTCTGATATCTTGAGTTTTGTGCATGAGGTGACTGTCTTGAGTAAGTGGTTGAGTCAAGTCTATGTTGGTTGATGAACAGAAGGGAGACTCCCCCTTTACTCGATTTTGCTGCACTCGAATATCCTCTGTGGTGGTTGTCTATGCTGAGGTTGAAGTTGTTCATGTGTTGATGTTTGAAAGCCAGTGTGATTCCCATGTTTCGTGCCTATGTGATATTTCCCCAAAGGTTTCATGATTAAGATGTTTTGAGCTTACCTTGTATCTGACTTGGTTTGCTTGGGGACAAGCAAACGGTTAAGTGTGGGAGAATTTGATAGCGTCGTATTTGCACATGTTTGCACCCTCGTTTCTTGATCATTTTGGCTTGAGTTTTTGCTTTCTTGGACTATTTTACGCTAGGTTGTGTTCCTTTGTCACATTTCAGGTCCTAGCATGTAAATTGAAGCATAGGCGCAAGTTTCATGTCAATCGGAGATCATTTGGCAATTTGAGAGAAGAAACACGAGCATAACCTGAGGAAGAATGGAATTATAACTCATATTATGGAAAAATAATCATGGAAGCTTGTCATGAAAAGAAAGAGGACGAGACTACGAGCGTCTGGGATCAAACGGCGACTGATTCGGAGTCCGAACGAGGGAGAAACGAAGCATTTAACAGGAGCGGAGGAAGAAATACGGACAGGAGAATTACGACCGTATTTTCCCCTCCCATGCCCGTATTTTCACTGCCGAGAGGAGCCTTGGATGCCCTGAAACTTAACCAAAATGCGTGTTTTGGGCAAAATACGGGCATGGAAGAAATACGGCCTAATTTCTGCCCGTATTTCGCCCATAATTGGGTTTTTTAGGCATATTCGAGCCAAAGGAGAGAGGGTCGACTTTTGGGAGCAAAAACAGAGCCCGAGAGAGAGAGAGAAAGTGCGAAGAACACATCCTAGAAGCGATCTTGGAGCTGGGTTTCATCAAATCGAGCTTGGAGATCATCATAGGAGTGAAAATCATCATCCAGAGCAGATTCTTCCCATTGTTATGAGTATGACTGCTTTGTATTCTGTTTTCTTCTCTCTCTCTCTCTATGGAGTAGAACTCTCTCTCACTTAGGTAAGAACCCTAGTTCCATGTGTTAGGAATCTTGATTGTAATTACGTTTGGATTGTGATATTGCTTGATTATAATCGATTGAAGTGTTTTGAATGAGTCAATTGAAGTCTGATCACCTTTTATTGATTTCTGCTGCAACCTGAGATAGATAGAATCTGATTAGGTTGTTAGAGCTTCTTCAATTGGTAGTAGTGAATCGATTATACGGGAGTTAGTCGATTCACTGCTTTGTATTGGAATCTAATTCCAGTAGTGGAGTTCTGTGTTCATAGCCTCGGCTTTCTATCCTGGTGAAGACTAGTCGTCTGCCGGGTAGTTGGACTGAGAGGGCTTGGTCAGCTTAAGAGATTCCAAACTACTGTTGGATCTTCCGTAGTATAATCAGCAGTAAAGCAACCAAAAGTAATTACAACTGAGACCTAATTAAGGAGCTAGGGGACTCATTCCCGAGTGACTCTCCCTTTGCTTTAGAAAACCGAATCATTTCCTGCTTTCTTACTGCTTTTACTTAAATCAACAATCACTTGACTTAGTTGGCTAGATAATAGATATTCACGGAGTAGGCAGTAGATCTAGACCCCGGGTTGACATTAGAACTTGCCTGTTACTCCATTTCCGGACTGCGATTACACTTGGTCGCATTTTGATGTTGTGTTTTAGCGTGTCAAGTTTTTGGCGCCGTTGCCGGGGACCCTCTAGGTTATTGGGGAAACGTGCAGAGCGTTGAATCCTCGATAAGCTAATTGAAACCCAACATCTTCTCCGCCTCGCGAGGGAGAAACACTGAAGGAGGCGAGTGAGGAGAAGCCTTGATAGGCAGAGGCCGGCACGAATGAGAGGAGAACTGCGATGGTCTTCGGAGAGGGGAATCGCAGGCAGAGAGCTGAAACAATGGGGAGACAAATCAGCAAAGAGAGAGTCGAAGGGGAACAATCTGGATCTCCTCCAGTTCTTCTCCCTCCAGGGCTCTGACCGTCATGGGAATCGCATCTTCTGCGTTGTCGGCAAGCACTTCCCGAGTAATCAATCAATCGATCAATTGCCCTTTGGTATCATTCCAATCCCTCGCTTGTTGCCGCCTGCCGGTTTTCTACCCCGGGGGACGCCGTCGTTGCAGGAGCTTTGGAGGGCGTCGGGCGTATTCTTCAAATTTCCCATGTGTGCTCTGTGGGTTTCGATTCAGAGGGGTTGACGGCGTCGGAGAAGATGCTAGGTTTCAATTAGGTTATCGAGGGTTTTACGGCAGCGGAGAAGGAGGGGTGGACAGAATCTCTGGATTTTCCGGGCTGGTGAGTGGTGAGTGGTGATCATTATTATTAAAAGATTGTAATTAATTTTTATCTTTATTATTAAAATGATGTGGAAATTAAAAAGATTATTTTTTATTTTTTTAATTATTTTTTTATCTTCCACGTCACTAGTTTAACGATCAACTATCAGAGTTGACTGCCACATCAGAAAAATTTAACAGAGACTAACGGAGAGTGACCACACTTGAACTGTTGAACTAATTTTAGTGATTACGGGCAGAATAAATAAATTTTAATGACAAACATGAACTGTTAAGTAATTTTAGTGACCAAACTTGCAATTTACCAAAAGAAAAGAGGCAATCACGATTCACGTCCCACCCATTTCTCCGGACTTGCCACATGGAAGTTTCTTACGTCGTGGATTTCTCCCTTCTACTTGGGCCCACTCGGTCCCATGTCGGAGGTGTGAACGTAATAGGTTTCAAATAATCAAACTACTGTAGTACATGGATCGATTGTGGATCCCCCCAACAAAATTAAAGAAAGCCAAATGGAAGGGAGAGGGCTTTTAGTCGTCGAGGTGCTTTAGTTGGATTTTCGTCAAACAAAAACATAATACAAGATTGAAGGAGAAATATATGTTTTTTAACGGGAAAAAAAAAATAGGAAGATGGGAAAAGGAAAATAACAAAAGAGAAAGAGGAGAAAAAAATTAAGAAAGGTTTTAGATACAGAGCGAGAAACAAGGCGCGGGGAAGACCGTCCCTTCTCAACAAAATACAGACGAAGCAGCCATAGCCGCGCCGTGCAGGACAAACAGTTAGCTTTAGCGATCCATCGAAACTTGACCAAGGAATTGCAAAGCCCAGCCAAACACACCGCCATTTCCTCGGAAATTTTGAAGATTTTTCACGAAAGGAAAGCAAGGACGGGGAGATTGTGTACGGAAGGCGTTTATTTTTGTAAACTTTTGTGTTGTTGTTGCAGATCCTCCTCCGTCGTCCGGGAAATCGGAAGCCGGGGACTAGGGATCCGTCTTCTGCTGTCATTTTATTTCACCTGCTCCCCTTCCCCCGTATTTTCCCAGCTCAAATCCATTATCGATCAATCAGCTTTTGATCCTTTCCAAATGCCATTGTGTAATTCCTTCATCTCTCTCATTTTGTCCCTTTCGCTACTCTTGCCATAGGATTTTCTCTGGGCTGGGAGAGAGACTTCCCCGTCTTTGTTCAATCCTTGGCTTCTTGGAGCTGAGCGAGGGGCGGAGACGAAGATCCTTCTAGATATACCGGCAATCTAGAAGGGCTCGGATCTGTTTTAGTCCGGTGACCGAGTCGTCGTCGGATGAGGGAGGAAGCGCAGCGGGAAATTTTCAAAAGAAGCAAACGATGAAATGGGTAACATTGCTCAAGGACTTTAAAGAGAAGGTCGGATTAACTCAAGCTCCAGCTGCTCCTTCTTCATCCTCTCCTGCTACTGCCGCTGCTTCTTCTTCTTCCCCCTTTTCTGCTTATCCATCCAATCGGAATAGCAATGCTTCCCCTTCTTCATCTTCCCTTTACCAAGGCTACAACGCTTCCCCCGAGAGGTTAGTTCGTCTTCTTCCATAAAGTCGCTGCATTCTTTATCAGACGAATTGCCGGCTGGATATTCCACCTCATCTTGTTTGACTTGTCTTGCTCGGATCACAATGGCATTGATCTGCATTTCGGTATAATGACCACAGTTGGCTGATTATCTGTCACTTTCTTGCAGCTACGAACTTATATTAGTTGGTTCAATTGGCACCTTGGGGGTGTCCTCCCCTACTTCATGATTAGATGTACCTTTTTATTATGATCTTCTATGGTCAGGTTCTTGGGGTTTTGGAATGGGCTATGTTTCACTCTCTGATTAATTTTTATAATGCTGTAGCAAATGCTGATTCAGACTTTTAGAACAACTGGTGCTGAACTTGTTAGAGATGTGGGTAGGTGGAAGAGCGGATAGGATTATAAGAACATCAGTTTTGCAATTAAGGTAGTATGCAGGCATGAACACTTTTCTTGTGTTCATGCTTTGTGAATCTCAGTAATTTATGCATCATAGTGTCTTAGGTAATTGATCTCCTGTTATCCTTGGGTGATGTTGATAGTTAGGAACTTATGATATTAGTAGGATGTTTTAGGATCGTAGGAGTGAGGAAGAGCTTCTTCATTTTTTTTTAATCTTTTGAAGGCACCCCCTATCTTCTCATCCTATTGGGTGGAGATGGAGATGCACTTCTCTTCTTGACTATCCTATCCCTATTGAATTCGTTGCATCAAATCCAGAAACAAATTATCTAGCAATAATATTATGCTGGGTAAGGGGATATAAAGATAAAAGGCTGGAAAGAGAATGAGTTTTGCTTTTGTGCTTGGCTGGGCAAGTATAAGGTGGAATCTTGTTATTGTATATCTGTATATGAGTATTGTAGGCTGGGAGTAATTTAAGTTGTTTACTTAGGGGTAGTGATGATTAACGTTAAGTGCCATAAAGATAATTCTAAAGGAAAGTCGTGGAGAAATTAGTGGGATGCTTCTGTTGCTATATGCCTAGTATTGGTTTAACGTTAAATCATCTAAAACATATTCTTATGTAGCTTCAGCTAGGGTTGAAGGTGCCGCTTTATTTAGAAAAATGATGCAGTTACCTTCCATCAATTTATGTTTTGCGTCTCAGTTTCCTACTCTTGTGGATTGCATAGTGGCTGCATGCTTTTTACCTGTACACATTATTCTTCTCTAAGAAACTGAAAATATTATCTCCCATCTCATGTAGATAGTTTTTTATTCTTTATGAAGACTGCATGTCTTCTGGAGATGGCTTCACTGCACAGTTGCATGTTTTGCTTTGATAACTTGCCCTAGTACGACATAAATCTAGTGGGTTGATTTCAGCATATTTGTAGCTGCGGCCTATATCTGTGAAATTCAATATTATTGTAAGGCACCTGTTCATGTGGTCTACGGTTCCCTTGCAGAGATAGACATGAATTGGAATTGGACTTCAAGAGATTTTGGGAAGAGTTCCGCTCATCCAGCTCTGAGAAGGTTTTCATCTTCTCTAAAATCATTTTATATGATATTCCATCTCATTTTGATACTTCAGTCAATAATTTTCTCTTCAACAAAAGAAAGTTCAGTGCTGAATAATAGTGCTCATTAGTTGCTTATTGTCAATGCAGGAGAAAGAAATGGCCCTGAACCTTACCGTAGATGTCTTTTGTAGATTAGTGAGGCAGCATGCTAATATAGATCAGTTAGTTACCATGTAAGTTCATTGCTTTTCTTTCTTTGGCACTATGAGATTGAAACTTCTTGCATTCCACTTTAATCTAAAGTTCGTCAGAAGCTATACAGTGTAGGCATGATTTCTAGCCTTGATTCCCTTTGATAGCTCTGCATCTTGATAGTTCTGCAAATTTTTGTTTGCCAGGACTTGAATATTCTTTTCCCATTTGGAAATTAAATGAAATTGTTGGGTAGTTTGTTTTCTTTTGAACTTTTTTAATGAAGACATAAAGCTTTTCTGCCTGTTAGTTGTCATTGATTACCTTCTGAACATTGTTTGAATTTCAGGTTAGTTGAAACCCACATATTCTGCTTTGTTGTTGGAAGAGCATTTGTAACTGATATCGAGAAGATTAAAATTAGTAGCAAAACAAGATCTTTGGATGTAGAGAAATTGCTGAGATTCTTTTCGGAGATTTCAAAGGTTTGGCTTTTAATTATTTTCTCAAGATTCCTTCTTCTTGATTGTTCTGACAATAATTGCTTCAATTGTTACCTTTTTTTTGTGTTTTTGCTGCAGGAAGGTATTAGTGCTGGATCAAATTTGTTAACGGCTTTAGAAGTCCTTGTATCTGGGGTACGTTTTGTTTCTTAGGAAAATGAAATTTGGAAGATGTATAGATATGCATAAACTAATAAATTTCATCTCGTTCCACACGCGGTTTATGCTTATTATTTATATTAGCGATTTTTTTTTATTAGTCCTTAGTGCTTTTGTACTTCCTGCTTTGCTAAGAATGTAGGCCATTTGGCTCCCTAGTTTCCACTATTCCTTCAAAATTCCAGCTACATTTGCTACAGCACTTTTCCCCTATTACTTAACATAGATTTATTGTTTTATTTGATTTTTCCCCTTCTATCGCATTTTGACTTTATTCTCTATGCAGCCCATTGACAAACAATCCCTTCTGGATTCCGGGATATTATGCTGTCTCATCCAAATTCTGAATACCTTTCTGAGTCCTGAAGCCATTCAATTGCAAAGGTCTACTGATACGGAAGAAAAATTGTTACTTGGAGGAGACAATGATAATGAAGTTGGGGAGGTTCCCCGCCTTGAGGTATGTTTATTACTTCTTGTAACTTCAGCAAAAACCAGATGTTTTTATTGTGCGCTATGTCCACCTTTTTGGCTGTTCTTATTAAGGAAGATGAAACTGCAGAGGTCCGGTATGGTGCATTTTGCATCAGCACTTTTTCGTATCATATTGATAAGCTTTGGTGTCTCCCTTTCGAGATTCTAGTTTTCTGCACTTACATCCTGCAATCACTTATGTCGTTTTTTACACCCAATGGGGCAGTTTCCAGTTGAAATGGATTCCTTTGTTATTTATGAAACAATACATTTTCAAGTTTAATCCGGACTGAATACTTGAAAGTGAATACCCGTGCCCCTTCTTGTATTCAGTATGAGATCAGATTGTTGAGTTTATGTTGTTGAAGTACTGCAGACTTCAGCTTGGTGGGACATGAATGTGTGCGGGCAGCTATGTTTTCTGGGATAAATACTTAATTGGAAGTAGACTTGCTTTTTCTAGAGTTGGATTCATCAAATGTCTACTGTTCCAGTAGTACATTTTTGGAAAGCTAACTTTCTCTTGGACAGACCTATGCTTGTGCTTGCATAAGTAGTTTTGCCATCCTTTTTCTGCATTCGAATGCTTTCTCTGTGATATCAACATTTAGGTATCGTTTGCTTGTGGGATTTGGGTGATGGATTTGGTACCCAAATCCCAAGCATAATGGAATTGGCACAAGTCCATTGTTTGCTAAGGGACACAAATCCGTGGGGCCCACGGATTTGGACCCATTTTTTAGATCCAAATCCGTGGACCCCACGGATTTGCAAATCCCACATTTCATTTGGGATTTGATAATGGAAGGCAAAATGTGAACAAATCCATCATGAATCCATTACAAAAATAAACTACACAAACAATGTACTCTTCCAAATCCATAATGCAACAAATCCATCATAAATCCAAAGGTTTTGAAAACTCAAAACCCTCATTTTCAAATCCAACAAGCAAACGAGCCCTTAATTATTGTTTTGACTTGTCTGGCTGAGTTGGTGTCATGAACCAACAATAAGTCAATTCATCAATTCTGAACACAAATCATGCAGTAGTTGCCTTAGGCAGTACCTAGCAATGCCCTTAAAATATCTAATCACTAGTTTTCATACAGGTGGAGGGACGAGTTGTACACATTATGAAAGCACTGGCAAGCCATCCTTCAGCAGCACAGTGTTTGGTTGAGGATGATTCACTTCAGATGCTTTTTCAGATGGTTGCCAATGGATCTCTAAAGGTCTTCTCTCAATCCAGAGAAGGTCTTCTTTGTCTGCATAGCATGCAACTTCATAGACATGCGATGCAGGTAGTTATAGCTTCTGTGCTCTGTTTACTGTTTTATGGAAAAATAACGGAAAACTGCCTCATGGCTGATATCTTTGTTTTGGATTATGTTTATTGCAGATACTCGGCCTTCTTTTGGTCAGTGACAATGGAAGCACTGCCAAATATATACGGAAACACCATCTGGTATTGACTCACATCCCATTTCAATACATAAAGATCCTTGAGCTCTTGTGGACACTTAGCAAAGTTACATGGAGTAATATTGTTAGAATTTGGTTATTTCTACCATTGTAGACTAGTTTTGTTCATGTGATCCATGTATCTGCATGTGTTATTTTAGTAAAAAGCTATCATTTCTTTTGGAAGAAGAAACTGTTAATACCGGTAATGGCTACAGCTTAGAGCAAACTTGTAAATCTTGGACTGACATGCATACCACCCTTCTAGGGGTTTGGACATTTAATATGTACCTGTTGGTGCCGTGCTTTGTTGAGTTCTTCATAATCAATTTTTGATCTAGTTAAGGTTGTTTTCCCATGGCATACTCTTGAATGATGGACCTTTTATTGGTTCACTCATGCCATCTAATTTGATTACGTAGAAGTATGGGATGTGCTTATTCAGAGTATTTCGACCTTGTTTAACCTAGTTTTGGTCGTTTCCCATGACCTAATTTTATTTAATGTGTCTTTCTCAAATCTTGACTTGTTAATTTAATCAGTATAATTGGTGCTTCAGTTATTGCTTTTCCTATGTTCGGATGTTTAATTCTGCAATTTCCTCTTAATTTTAGCTTAGGAATTTAATTGCAATTTCCTAGTTCATGTGCTTCGCTCTAAGAATATGCTTATGTTATACATGCAGATAAAAATTCTCTTAATGGCTATCAAAGATTTCAATCCAGAATGCGGAGATCCTGCCTACACGATGGGCATTGTTGACTTGTTGCTTGAATGTGTTGAATTGTCACACAGACCGGGTAATTGACTGATATATCCTAACCAATCTAGCTAGCATTTGTTCATAAGAAATGGGAAATGGGGGATAGAGTAAATTTTATGCAAGTTTTATTTATTGTACCTCAAGATCTTGACTTTTATGGAATTAATTGAGCGCAGAGGCTAGTGGAGTCAGGCTCAGGGAAGATATACATAATGCTCATGGTTATCAGTTCCTTGTTCAATTTGCATTGGTATTGTCCTCGATGCCGCAAAATCAGAATTCTCAGTCTGCCTATTTCAAGGGTTCTATAGGGCAAGATGACTCGTCAGATGGTCTTCAAGAGTCGCAAAATCTGTCTCCTGCATTGTCTAGGTTGCTTGATGTTCTCCTCAATCTCGCGCAGATAGGTCCGCCTGAAACAGCAGCATCTCCTGGATCAAAAGCTTCTAAGACTACTCTTAATAGGTCGAGTGGCTATAGCAGAAGTCATACTTCATCTCTTGATTTAGCTGGTGATGAAAACTGGGAGAAGGACAGTACCAAGGTTAAAGACCTTGAAGCTGTCCAGATGTTGCAAGATATCTTTCTGAAGGCAGACAGTAGAGAACTGCAGGCAGAAGTGCTGAATCGGATGTTTAAGCTGTTTTCAAGTCATCTTGATAATTATAAATTGTGCCAGCAATTAAGGACGGTTCCACTTCTTATCCTGAATATGGCTGGTTTCCCTCCTTCTTTGCAAGAGATAATCCTGAAGATTCTTGAATATGCTGTGACTGTTGTCAATTGTGTTCCAGAGCAAGAGCTGCTTTCTCTTTGTTGCTTACTGCAGCAACCAATATCATCAGAGCTGAAGCACACTGTTCTCTCATTCTTTGTAAAACTTTTATCCTTTGACCAACAGTATAAGAAGGTCTTGCGTGAAGTTGGTGTACTGGAAGTTCTGTTAGATGATGTGAAACAACACAAATTTCTTTCTGGCCCTGATCAAGAAAGTGTGAGCAAAGACCAGCCTGATAGAACATCTGGTTCGAGCAGCTTCAAGAAACACTGGGATAATAAAAATGTTATCCTTTCTTCTCCCAAGCTAATGGAATCTGGTTCTGGAAAGTTACTGATATTTGAAATGGAGAGTACGGTTTCTGTGGCTTGGGACTGTTTGGTATCTTTATTGAAGAAAGCAGAGCCAAATCAAGCATCATTCCGAGCAGCTAATGGTGTGACTATCATTCTTCCTTTTCTGGTATCAGAAATCCACCGTGCTGGAGCTCTCCGGATGCTGTCATGTTTGATTGCGGAAGATGTTAAACAGGTTTCTCATAACTGGACATTAGAATCTTTGTATATGCATATATTTAAGTATCAATGACCATGAGTGGCTGCGTAGAACTCTTGTTCGTTTTCCAAAATTATTTTTGTAATTTTTTGGAAGTTTGTTTTTGTTATACCTTCCTTTGTTTCTCGCTTCCTTGCTTGATTGTTGCTGACTGTTAAAATGCATTTTGTTACCAGGATCATGCTGAAGAATTGGGTGCACTTGTCGAGGTTCTCAAAAGTGGGATGGTTACAAGTGGAGCAGGACATCAATACAGGCTTCAAGTGGATGCTAAATGTGACACGATGGGTGCTTTGTGGCGTGTTCTGGGAATGAACAGTTCTGCTCAGAGGGTCTTCGGTGAAGCTACTGGATTTTCTCTGCTGCTGACAACACTTCATAGCTTCCAAGGGGAAGAGGGTCGGAGTGATGATTCTTCACAAGCGGTTGTTATCAAGCTGTTCACATACTTATTACGTCTTATGACAGCCGGAGTCTATGATAATGTTTTAAATAGGATGAAATTGCACACAATCATTTCATCTCATACGTTCTATGACCTTCTCTGTGAGTCTGGGTTGCTTTCTGTCGAATGTGAAAGGCAAGTCATACAATTGTTATTTGAGCTTGCTCTTGAAATTGTGATTCCCCCATTCTCGTCATCAGACAATGCTACATCAACAGAAATGGTCAACTCTGATTCTGCTGTTTTTCTTCTGATAACCCCGTCTGGTTTGTTTAATTCTGATAAGGAGAGAGTTTATAATGCTGGGGCTGTTAGAGTGCTCATTCGTTCGTTATTGCTCTTCACTCCCAAGGTGCAGTTGGAAGTGCTTAATCTTATTGGTAGGCTTGCTCAAGCAAGCCCCTTCAATCAGGAAAACCTCACATCTGTAGGTGCGGGAATGATCTTTTTGCCTTATGTTTCTCCTGTCTTGGTTGCTTTCCTTACAAATGATTTTGGTGTTATCTTTATTCGTCTTGTTGGATACCCATGTAGGTTGCATTGAGCTTCTATTGGAAACAATTCACCCGTTCCTTTCCGGCTCGTCTCCACTGCTTACTCATGCGTTGAAGATTGTTGAAATTCTTGGAGCATACAGGTATAATATTCTGTCTGCTTATTTACATTCTTTTTAATCTGCTAAAATATTAAGGAATAACTAAGAAGTTGTGAATTTCTTGTGTAGGATGTCAGCATCAGAACTTCGATTACTTATTAGATTTGTTCTACAAATGAGGAAGATGAATTCAGGACATATTCTTGTCGACATGATGGAACGACTGATTCTAACTGAAGATATAGCTGCTGAGAATGTAGCCTTAGCACCGTTTGTGGAGATGGATATGAGCAAGATTGGACACGCTGCTGTTCAAGTGTCTCTTGGCGAGAGATCTTGGCCTCCCGCTGCTGGTTATTCATTTGTATGCTGGTTTCAGTATAAGAACTTCTTGAAAGCTCAGGCGAGGGATGTAGAACCATTCAAAGGTGGCCTGTCTAAAAGGAGGGCCATCTCTAGTGGCCAGAATGAACGCCATCTGCTCCGGTTATTTTCTGTTGGTTCTTTTGATAAGGAGAACATGTTTTACGCAGAACTTTACCTGCAAGAAGATGGTGTGTTAACTCTTGCTACTAGTAACTCTTGTTCATTGTCGTTCTCGGGCTTGGATCTAGAAGAAGGTAGATGGCATCACCTTGCTGTTGTTCATAGCAAACCAAATGCTCTAGCTGGATTATTTCAAGCTAGTGTTGCATATGTCTATCTCAATGGAAAACTGAGGCATACAGGGAAACTAGGATATTCTCCCTCTCCCCCTGGGAAGGCATTGCAGGTAACAATTGGGACGCCGCATACTTGCGCCAAAATTAGCGACGTGACCTGGAAACTTCGTTCTTGCTATCTTTTTGAAGAGGTGCTCACATCTGGGTGTATATGTTTTATGTACATTCTTGGTCGAGGATACAGAGGGCTCTTCCAGGACTCTGATATTTTACGCTTTGTCCCTAACCAAGCTTGTGGGGGAGGCACAATGGCTATCTTAGATTCATTAGATGCTGAGATGACCTTAGGAAGCACACAAAAAACTGAAACTTCTGGCAGGCATGTTGACTCTAAGGCGGATGGTAGTGGGATTGTTTGGGATTTGGAGAGGCTGTCCAACTTGTCCTTGCAGCTTTCTGGGAAGAAACTAATATTTGCATTTGACGGAACCTGTTCTGAAGTTGTCCGTGCATCTGGGACCTTCTCTTTGCTCAATTTGGTTGATCCCATGTCGGCTGCAGCTTCTCCGATAGGAGGCGAGTTAAATTAATCCTAACATTAGCCTTTATTTTGTTTCAATGGAAAATGCTTATCTTTGCCACAGTTTTCTGATTCTCCCTTGTTTCTTTGCGTTATCATTTGCAGGTATACCAAGGTTTGGACGTTTGTATGGTGACATACATGTTTGTAGACAATGTGCGATTGGCGATACAATTTGCCCTGTTGGTGGTATGCCAGTTGTCCTTGCACTTATTGAAGCAGCTGAAACAAGGGATATGCTTCACATGGCTCTAACTTTACTTGCAAGTGCCCTCCATCAGAATCCGCAGAATGTGAAAGACATGCAAAAGTACAGAGGCTATCATTTGTTAGCTTTATTCTTGCGCCGGAGGATGTCTCTATTTGACATGCAATCTCTTGAGATATTTTTCCAAATTGCAGCATGCGAGGCTTCATTTTCTGAACCGAGGAAGTTGGGAAATTCTCAAGTAAATTTGTCTCCTGGTGCATCTCTACAAGAAGCTAGCTTTGAGGATCTTAGCTTGTCAAAGTTTCGTGATGAAACCTCTTCTCTTGGATCACATGGGGATTTGGATGATTTTTCTGGACAAAAAGATTCATTCAGTCATTTTTCTGAGCTTGAAAATTCTGATATGCACGCTGAAACTTCAAATTGCATTGTCCTGTCAAATGCAGACATGGTTGAGCACGTATTGCTGGATTGGACGTTGTGGGTAACAGCCCCAGTTTCAATTCAGATAGCTCTATTAGGATTTCTTGAGCATTTGGTTTCTATGCACTGGTACAGGAATCATAACCTTACACTGCTTCGTCGAATTAACCTTGTTCAACATTTATTAGTGACATTGCAGCGTGGGGATGTTGAAGTTCCTGTCTTGGAGAAATTGGTTGTGTTGCTTGGGGTTATCTTGGAAGACGGTTTTGTGGCTTCTGAGCTGGAAAATGTGGTTAGATTTGTCATTATGACATTTGATCCACCTGAAGTGAAACCAAGGCATCAACTAATGCGAGAGCCTATGGGTAAGCATGTAATTGTAAGAAATATGCTTCTTGAAATGCTTATCGATCTCCAAGTGACTATCAAAGCTGAAGAGTTGCTTGAGCAATGGCATAAGATTGTATCATCAAAATTGATCACATATTTTCTTGACGAAGCTGTCCATCCTACAAGCATGAGATGGATAATGACTCTTCTCGGGGTTTGTCTTGCTTCTTCTCCGACATTTGCGCTTAAATTTCGTACAAGTGGTGGATATCAGGGTTTAGTGCGGGTTCTTCCTAGCTTCTATGATTCACCTGAAATATATTACATTTTGTTCTGTCTAATATTTGGCAAGTCAGTTTACCCAAGGTTACCTGAAGTGCGTATGCTAGATTTTCATGCCCTTATTCCAAGTGATGGAAGCTACACAGAGTTGAAATTTGTGGACCTGTTGGACTCTATCGTTGCAATGGCAAGGTCAACATTTGATAGGCTGAGCTCACAGTTTATGCATGCATATGAAACTGGAAATCTTTCCCAGATTGGTGCAAGCCTTGTGGCAGAGCTTGTTGATGGAAATGCAGACATGGCAGGAGAGCTTCAGGGTGAAGCTCTTATGCACAAGACATATGCAGCACGCTTAATGGGTGGGGAAGCATCTTCTCCTGCTGCTGCGACCTCAGTACTGAGATTTATGGTTGACTTGTCAAAAATGAGCCCTGCCTTTTCAGCTGTTTGCAGGAGGACAGAATTTCTTGAAAGTTGCATTGACCTATACTTTTCTTGCATCAGGTATGTGTTTAATAGCCATTTTGTTTCTTCTTGCTGTTGGATTTCCATATTATTTCTTTCCATTCAAAGAAAATTTTCCTGGGGGTGTGGATCATGCTTGGCTTCTCTAGCTAAACCCTTTGTTTGTGGAGATAGGTATCACTATAACTTCTCATCCTGAAAAGAAACAGCCAAACAACCTACTTGGATTTGAAATTATTTGTGTATAACTTTTGTTCCTTTCCAATATTAAAACTTGCAGGGCAGCTTATGCAATAAAGATGGCCAAAATGCTATCTGAAAAAACTGAAGAAAAGAACTTGAATGACACTGATGATGCTGGTAGTTCGCAGAACACCTTTACAAGTTTGCCTCATGAACCTGAGCATTCTATGAAGACATCCATTAGTGGTGGGAGCTTCCCTCAAGCCAATGCAAGTACAAGTTCTGAGGACATGCACGGTCCTCAAAATTACACCGATGATGATAAAAAAGAAAAAAAGGTCACCGATACCAAGGAACCTGAAATATCACAGCAAGAAGGTATCCAAATGGTGGATGGTGACACTGCTGACAAATTGTCTCATACCTTGAGCTCCAATGACTTGAAAATACAAAATACTGATGCAGCTGTCGATGCACCTCCACAAGCTGATTCCCAGAGTTCAGCATCATTCACAATTGTTAATTCTCCTGTTATATCTGAAAAGTCTAGCACGAAAGTTGCTTTCACGCCTTCATCTCCTGCTATTGTGTTAAATTCTGGGATGAGTGGTGCAACCCACAATGAATACAAAGTTTTGCCACCAAGTCCTTCTGTTGAATCATTTGTATCTGGTAGCGAATATGATGCATCTAGTGAATTGAAGGCTGGTCCTCAAGTCTCATCTGCTATGACTGCCTTATCTTCAGTTAGTGCACAGCTGCTTCTTGAAGTAGATGATTCTGGCTATGGAGGTGGTCCATGTTCTGCTGGAGCAACTGCTGTGTTGGATTTCGTGGCAGAAGTTCTTTCAGAATATTTTACAGAGCAGATGAAAGCATCACAAGCAATTGAGGCTGTCTTGGAAATGGTACCTTTATATGTTGATGCTGAATCTGTGTTAGTTTTCCAGGGCTTATGCCTTAGCAGACTGATGAACTTTGTTGAAAGACGACTTTTGCGTGACGACGAGGAAGATGAGAAAAAGCTTGACAAAACTCGGTGGTCCTCGAACTTGGATGCATTGTGTTGGATGATAGTCGATCGTGTATACATGGGTGCGTTTCCTCAACCTGGCGACGTATTGAGAACTGTTGAATTCTTGTTGTCAATGTTGCAGTTGGCAAACAAAGATGGTCGTATCGAGGAAGCAGCTCCTGTCGGCAAGGGTCTTATTTTCTCAAGAGGAAGCAAGCAACTCGATGCTTTTATACTTTCGTTGCTTAAGAATACCAACAGGATGATCTTGTATTGCTTTCTTCCAACGTTTTTGGTGGCTATTGGGGAGGAGGATCTTCCATCCAGTTTAGGTTTGCTTAGTGAACCCAAGCAAAGACCAACATCGAAGTTGTCACTAGATGATCCTGGAATAGATATCACTGCTGTCCTACAGTTATTAGTTGCTCACAGGCGCATCTTATTCTGTCCTAGCAATCTTGACACTGATGTGAATTGTTGTCTCTGCATCAATCTAGTGGCTCTCCTTCATGACCATAGACAAAGTGTACAAAATGTGGCAATTGATATTCTCAAGTATCTGCTGGTGCACCGGAGGCCTTCATTAGAAGACTTGCTTGTTTCCAAACCGAACCAGGGACAGCAAATCGATGTACTCCATGGTGGTTTTGATATATTATTGACTGGAAGTATATCTGCTTTTTTTGAGTGGTTTGAAAGTTCAGAACATCTGGTCAGTAAAGTGCTGGAACAGTGTGCAGCCATTATGTGGGTCCAGTATGTTGCAGGATCTGTTAAGTTTCCAGGTGTTAGAATCAAAGGGATGGAGAGTCGTCGTAAGAGGGAGATAGGGAAAAGATCTCGAGATACTTCAAAGGTGGACCTCAGACATTGGGAGCAGGTAAATGAGCGGAGGTATGCATTAGAAATGGTTCGTGATGTTATGTCTACTGAATTGAGGGTTGTCCGTCAAGATAAGTATGGATGGGTTCTCCATGCTGAAAGTGAATGGCAAACCCTTCTTCAACAACTTGTACATGACCGTGGAATCTTTCCAATGCGCAAGTCCTCTGCAACTGAAGATCCAGAGTGGCAGCTTTGTCCTATTGAAGGTCCATACAGAATGCGCAAGAAACTTGAAAGGTGCAAATTGAGAATTGACACTATTCAAAATGTTCTTGATGGGCAGTTTGAATTAGGAGAAACAGAACTATCTAAAGCAAAACATGGCAATGGCTTTGATGACTCTGATACTGATTCTGAGCTATTTTTCAATCTATTGACTGAGGATGACAAACAGATTGGTGATGATAGTGACATGTATGGGGAATCTTTTAAGGATGCAATTGGGCCCAAAGGTATTGCTTCTGTCAGAAGTGTATACAATGATGACAAAGCGAGTAGTGTGAATGAACCAAGCCTTCATTCAGCACAAGATTTTGGTGTTAAGTCTAGTGCGGTTTCTGTTCCTATGTCAGAAAGCATGCTAGAAAAGTCTGAACTAGGGTCTCCAAGGCAATCATCATCTAATAGAACTGATGACACCAAAGTCACCGAGGACAAGTCAGATAAGGAACTGACTGATAATGGTGAATATCTTATTAGACCATATCTGGAGCATCTGGAAAAGATTCGATTCAAGTATAACTGTGAACGAGTTGTCGGTCTGGACAAACATGATGGTATATTTCTTATAGGAGAGCTTTCTTTGTACGTGATTGAGAACTTCTATATCGATGATAATGGGTGCATCTGTGAAAAGGAATCCGAAGATGAACTGTCCATTATTGACCAGGCTTTAGGTGTGAAGAAGGATCTTCTGAGCAGCATGGATTTCCAGTCCAAGTCAACTGCCTCCTGGAGTACAACTGTAAAAACATGCATTGGTGGAAGAGCATGGGCTTATAATGGTGGTGCTTGGGGTAAGGAAAAAGTATGCAACAGTGGTAACTTGCCTCATCCTTGGCATATGTGGAAGCTAAATAGTGTTCATGAGATTTTAAAACGCGAATACCAGCTTCGCCCTGTTGCAGTTGAGATATTTAGCATGGATGGATGCAATGATCTCCTTGTATTCCATAAAAGAGAGAGGGAGGAGGTGTTCAAAAATCTGGTTGCCATGAATCTTCCCAGGAATAGCATGTATGCCTTCTGTTCCTTTTCCTTGTGTTCTTAGTATGATTTACACTTCCACTTGCTGTTGCGACACTGAATCTGAATATCATATCTGCCTAATATTATTAGTATCTGTCAGTGAGCTTATCTTTATATGCTGCTAGGCTGATTTGGTGCTGTTGCTTTCAGCCATTATAAAGAATCACCTCAGAACTATCCTTTTAGGAATTTGTTGTCCAGTCTGCTAACTGATGTCAACTGTTATAGCAGATAGGCTAACCTCAGAAAATGGCTGCTAGCCTGCTACTGGATTTAGCTCTCTTATGTTTGATAAAACCGATTTCATATCTCCCCCTCTCTTCTCTTTGTTTTTTTTTCCTTCTTCTTTCACATTTGCAATTAAACTATCATCAAGACTAAAGAAACATGGTGCTCTTTTGTAATATGTGTACATTGAAAAGGTTCTAGGTATGATCCAGGAATGTGTTAACACATAAGGTGCTTGAATGTTGAGTATACTTTTGAATATGGGTAACTTTATGAAGAAAGTAAGATAGTGTGGACAGATTGTGATAAATAATGTAGTTTTCGAATTTGATTTAGTTTACCTCATTTACTATGTATTTCTAAGTGAACAAATCTGCCGAAGTGAAGTTCTTTTTATGCTTTCATCTCATCTGTAGCTTTTGGGGATACCGAGTTTATTGGGTGTTATTGGTGATAGCTTGTTCAAGATACCCCTTCCCATGTTTTTTGTTTGTCAAGCATAGTACTTATACGTCGTTATCTCTATCTGCCGATGTACATCATTAAAGGTCCCTGTCTAGTTCTCACAGGTGTGTCTGAAATAGTGAGAACAAGAGTTAGTTCTGTGCCTAGTATTAGCAGGTTTTTTGCATGTGTGACCTATGGCAAGCCCTATCTTTTGAATTCCTTATGACAAAATCTGTTAATAATGTCCATTACTGTGAAACAGATGTTTGGGTACTGTAAGTGGCAGCTCTTAAGTTACCTGAATTCTGCTGTGTCTCGGTTCATGTTTTATCAGTTTGAATGTGCTGCTCGTACTCATTTAATTCTGAATGAGTCCATTTTCCTTGTTATCTCTGTTGCGTCAGGTTGGACACTACGATTTCAGGATCAGCAAAGCAAGAAGGCAATGAGGGTAGCCGTTTGTTCAAGATAATGGCTAAATCATTCTCCAAAAGATGGCAAAATGGAGAGATTAGCAACTTCCAATATCTTATGCATCTCAACACTTTGGCTGGTCGGGGATATAGTGATCTGACCCAGTATCCGGTGTTCCCATGGGTCCTTGCTGATTATGAAAGTGAAACTCTTGACTTGTCTAATCCTAAAACATTCAGACAGCTGGACAAACCCATGGGCTGTCAAACTGCAGAGGGGGAAGAGGAGTTTAAGAAAAGGTCAGTTGCAAATCCAGACTATCAAGTATTTCCTCCCCATTTATATACTATGTGCTCATTTCCTTCTGTTTCCCCTTATTCAGATATGACAGCTGGGATGATCCGGAGGTTCCAAAGTTTCATTACGGTTCTCATTATTCTAGTGCTGGGATTGTCCTGTTCTATCTTGTGCGCCTGCCACCTTTCAGTGCAGAGAATCAGAAGCTGCAAGGAGGGCAGTTTGACCATGCTGATCGCCTTTTCAATAGTATTAGAGATACTTGGTTGAGTGCTGCTGGAAAGGGAAACACATCTGATGTGAAAGAATTGATTCCAGAGTTCTTTTACATGCCAGAGTTTCTTGAAAATAGGTTCAACCTTGACTTGGGTGAAAAGCAATCAGGAGAAAAGGTTGGTTCCTAAGAACACTGCCACTTGCTTCCCTCTATCGCCTTTTTATAATCAGTTTTTACCTACCAAGTTGGGATGTAATAATTTTCCCTAGTACTTAAGCTTGATGTTGGTGCTTTCTCAGGTAGGGGATGTCATGTTACCCCCATGGGCCAAAGGCAGTGTCAGAGAATTCATTAGGAAGCATAGGGAAGCACTTGAATCTGACTTTGTTTCAGAGAATCTGCATCATTGGATAGACCTCATTTTCGGGCATAAACAGAGGGGAAAGGTATGCTTTTCTCTACCTTTCTTTGGCCGTTACCCGTAGCATTAAGTTTGATAACCTTATACTGTAGAGCACGGTAGGGGGAGAAGGAATTTCTCTGGTTTGCGATTTACTGTTTAGATAAACTCCATGTGTGTGGTGGTGTCCTACTCCTGTATCTTATTTTCTAGCATGGGTTCAAATTAACTACGCTTTGAACATGATGGCCATGAGACTACAAACAATTTGTTAGCAATCTTGAAATAATTTATCAATGCTAGTTAGTAGGTTTTTTGTATCTGTGACTAATTAATTTTCTTTGCATTGCTGTCGTCATGTATTGGTTATAAATAGATATATTGCCACCAGAAAACTAGAATGCGGTCATTTACTTGTCTTTGGGTCTCCAGGCTATGATACTGTTTGCTTTTGCATTTTAAACAGGCGGCCGAGGAAGCTGTTAATGTTTTCTATCATTACACGTACGAAGGAAGTGTCGATATCGATTCAGTGGCAGACCCTGCAATGAAAGCTTCTATTCTAGCCCAGATCAACCACTTTGGCCAAACACCGAAACAGTTGTTTCTCAAGCCCCACGTGAAGAGGCGGCCAGATAAAAAGCTTCCTCATCCCCTTAAGTATTCGTCTTACCTTGCTCCGCACGAAGTCCGAAAGGCCACATCCCCAATAACTCAGATCATTAGCTATCACGAGAGAGTTCTGGTGTCTGGGACAAACAGTTTGCTGAAACCCAGAACCTATACCAAATGTGTTTCGTGGGGGTTCCCTGACCGCAGCCTGAGATTCACCAGTTATGATCAGGAGAGACTTCTCTCAACGCACGAGAATCTTCACGGTGGTAATCAGATTCAGTGCGTCGGCGCTAGTCACGATGGTCAGATTCTGGTTACCGGTGCAGATGATGGTCTGATTTGTGCTTGGAGGATCATAAAAGATGGCCCTCGTTTGATCTCTCAACATCTGGAGTTGGAAAAGGCACTCTGTGGCCATACATCCAGAATTACTTGCCTTCATGTTAGCCAACCTTATATGCTAATTGTAAGCGGTTCTGATGATTGCACTGTTATCATGTGGGACCTTAGTGCCTTGGTCTTTATCAGACAGTTGCCCGAGTTTCCGTCTCCAATCTCAGCAATATTTGTGAACGAATTGACTGGAGAGGTAATGACAGCTGCTGGAATTTTACTGGCTATTTGGAGCATCAATGGGGATTGCCTTGCCATGATTAATACTTCCCAATTGCCCTCTGATTCTATCTTGTGTGTGACTAGTTGTGCGTTCTCTGATTGGCTGGATACGAATTGGTATGTGACTGGACATCAGAGTGGGGCAATTAAAGTGTGGCAGATGGTTCATTGTTCAGACAAGGAGAAAATCAGTTCAGCCTCGTCCTCCAGCAGCTCAACAAATGGATTGAATTTAGGAAACAAGAAGGCGCCAGAATACCGGCTGATCCTGCACAAGATATTGAAATTTCACAAGCATCCTGTTACTGCCCTTTATGCTACAAGTGATTTGAAGCAGTTGTTGAGTGGAGATTCTGGCGGGCATTTGGTGTCTTGGACCCTGCCGGATGATAGCCTGAGAAATTCAATAAAGAACAATGGGTAATGAAGGGGATATTCATTTCAGGTTCATAGTTTTTGATTGATTCTGCCTTTCCTGCGGGGCAGCTAGTTTAAGAAAGAACGGATTTGCTTGCAGTGGGGAAAGGGAAGCAAATGCAATGGAGGGCTGTCCTGGAATTGGAATGTGATCTGACTCGGTGGTCTGTGTCAGGTTGAGAACCAAGCCTAGTCTCCTCGTGCCTTGTGTAACTTTTGGGATGGTTGATGGAAGAGAAACGTGCTAGATCGTAAACAATATCGTCAACTATCTGGTTATCCGCGGTGTACATAGATGATGCGGTTACTAACAGCGTGGAGTTGGAAGGATTTTTGTATACTGAAAGAGGAGCAAAATCTGGCTTTTCCAACTCATAGTTTGGACTTTGGAGGCAGGGCAACAAAGCTGGTCCGTATGTAGTAATCTGTTCACTAACTTTCCTTCTCCTTGTGTGTTCCTCTCCATGGTGGAAGAGCTTACACGGCCCGGTTCCTTGTACAATGTACCTTCCATTTCATTTTGGTTAAGAAGATAAAATCAGGGGTTGGGAAAGTAAAGAGAGAAGCTCCTGGACTATCAGTTGCATATTATTTAGCTGCTGGGAGAACTTGATTGCTTGTAATTTTTGTAGGGTGGGATACATGTATGTGTAGTTGCAGGTCTTTTGCTGGATGCTCGATTGGTGAAATGCATTTTTTATTTACCGTTGATACCCATTTCTCTGCAGGATCATGACATGCGTGACTATGCGAGTCGCAAGTTGACCTTGTAAATAAGTCTATTAATTCTTGTTATATTAAGATTTTTGTTTTTTTAAGAAGTGATAAGTTAAACAAAAAAAATAGAAACTCATACTGTTTCAATTGATAAATGAAATAATATAATTTGTGATTGGTTCAAAATATAGTACGAGCATAACGTGTAAGAGTAAGACCAAGTTAAAATTATCGAGTCAAACTCTCATTATTACCCATATTTCTAGGTCACGAGAGTAAATTGAACTCAATATCCAATGAGGCATCGAATTCTAAAATGGGATTCTGTGCAAAAACAACATATTATTTGAATATAACTCACATAAAATTATGGGTTAATTGCATGGTTGGTCACTGAAATTACAAAAAATGTTCAAGTTTGGTCACTCGAAATATTTAAATCCATTGGTGGTACTTCAGTTTACTGAAACCGTTCACGTTTGGTCACTCTCCATCCAACTCTGTTAACTTTTGTTGATGTGGCAGTCAACTCTCAAAGTTGTCCGTTAACTTAGTGACGTGGCAATTTAAAAATTATTAAAAATAAAAATTTATATTTTCCACCTCATTATTACATTCATTAAAAAATAAAAATAAAACCTAATTTCTTATTACATTCATTAAAATAAAAGAAAATAAAAAACCTAATTTCTTAAACTTCATCCCAAAATATTTACATCGCCATAAATTTGTGCCGTACTTAACTACTCCTTTATTCATCTACTAACATAAAAAAATTAATCATTTACTTGTACGAAATTAATATCCCAAAAACGAAACAGAAAACAAAAGGAAACGGTAATTTGTTGAAGTCGTCCTCATGATCCAAGCTTAACTCCATCTGTTGGATTCTCCTCCTTGTAATTCGAAACCAAAACAACAACAAAATCCCTAAAATGGAGTCAACGTCCTGCTGAAACCATTCACATTTGAGAAGAATCCGACGAGAAGCTCCTGACGGTAGGACAGATACGACCACCGCCGATCCCCATCTTTCAACGCTCTGCTCTTCGTATAAAACACCTCGTGTGCCGACGCCGCCGTTTTCGCAGCTCTTCCGGCGACGGTTTCGCCTTCCGATCGGCTGCCGATTTCTCCTCGCCCCTTTTCCCCAAATTAATTTCATTATTGCTGCTGTTGCTATTATTACTGCCGCTACGGCTGGCGCCAGCAGTGTTTGGCTGGACCATCAAGTAGCACACCTTCCCGTCGCTGCTGGATCTACGCAGCTCTGTCCCTCAGCGTCGCCGGGAAATCGATCTCGGTTGAAACACCGGGTAGAAAACAGAGGAGACCAGTTGCTGGCGGTCTCCTAATTCAATTGCGTCGGGATCCGCGCAGCTGAAGGAGACGAACTCGAATTCGTCGTCGTTTCCCGATGAATTCGCTGCTGCTTCCGCCGCGGCGATGTCGGCGAGGCGGTCGCAGGAGTAGCTACTGAAGTTGGGGCAAAACGCCACGTCGGTGGCGACTGTGGCGGAGGTTTCGTCCTGCATTTTAATGAATGTAATAAGAAATTAGGTTTTTTATTTTTTTATTTTTTAATGAATGTAATAATGAGGTGGAAAATATAGGAGTTTATTTTTTTATTTTTAATAATTTTTAAATTGCCACGTCACTAAGTTAACGGTCAACTTTGAGAGTTGACTGCCACATCAGCAAAAGTTAACGGAGTTGGACGGAGAGTGACCAAACGTGAACGGTTTCAGTAAACTGAAGTACCACCAATGGATTTAAATATTTCGAGTGACCAAACTTGAACGTTTTTTGTAATTTTAGTGACCAACCATGCAATTAACCCTAAAATTATGGTTACGAAAATTATGCATTCAGTGTCATGACTCATGATCAAAAGTTGAAACTAGTGAGTTAAACTCTCATTACTATATTTCTAGGCTATGAGAGAAAATTGGACTCTATGGCCGCTTTAGTCTCGGATTCTAAAATATGAATCTATGCGAAAAACATGTTTATTTGAATAATTGAAAAACACAAAAAATTGTAAATTGATAAGAATTTAAAAATGGAAAATTTACCATCGAAATACGCATGATCAGTCGACATCTATTTCAATAGTCGGAAAGCTCGCAAAGGAATTTTAAAAACAATTAATGAAGTCGTTGTCTTCCTATTCGAGCTCGAGCGAGAAAGACGCGTAAGTATGCAAAATCAAATACGAAAAAAATTCCGGTATCACCGATTATAAAAGATGCCTAAATATGCAAAATCTAAGGGTTTCTTGAAAAAATAGTATTCCGAAATCGTATAGGAAAGAAATAAAAATGTAAATAAAAGGTAAAAGAATAAATGACTAATACCACTAGGAAACTCGAACTATCAAGATTGTGTCATTTGTGTACTAAACTATCCAATATGACATTTGTGTCCCAACCTATGATAGTTGTGTGTCATTTATGTCCTCCCGATTTTGTTGACCGTTATATTTAACGGTTGACCAGACGGTGGTAAACATGATGTTTTTTTATGGTTAATCAAAAATTTCATTAAGCCCGGGAGTTGCAAACTGCAAACTCCTCCTCCATGTACAAACAGTTCATAGCCATATCAATAACTACTCAATGTAACTATCTACTAAAGTATTCAAAACAAAATCTATCTCTGCTTCATTCCTGCTTCAGGGTTTGGCTTTAATTATCCATTTCACTTCTTCTTCAATCCTTCCAACCAGCTTACTTGGTGGACATATGACAGCATCATGAGCTCTGCAACAACGCTCACGCCACACATAACTAATGCAAAGACACCATCTTAACCTGCCTGCCTTCACCTGCTAACACTGTACCACTGGACCACTGCCTCACTGCCCAGCTCAAATGCTCGGACCATGTAGTGAAAACAGGGATCCTACAAAATATGCTCAGTACTTTTGACAAGACATAGCTGCTGTAAGGGCATCCAAAAAATAAGTGATCACGAGATTCTTCTCCACCTGGACAAAGAACACAACATTCTCCAGCCAACCCCCAGTTTAAAAGCTTATCATTTGTAACAATACAATTCAGCACAACTAAACATAATAGTAAACTGTGTTTAGGACTAAACAGTTTTCCCCAAACAGCCTTATGCCAATAAACAAGGGGATTAGGACTCCTTATGGTATGCCAGACAAGTTTAACATAATACTTAGGTAATACCTTTCCATCCCAAGCTAGTAAATTACCACCGCCAGAGACATGAGATCTTACCCCAGCTCTGCTCTTCAAAATCTTCCGCCAAATCCACGTTCCCACTGACTCGCCTGAGATATCCCATATGGATTTGAGCTTCCACCTGTACTTCTTCACCCACGCAACCCACAGCAAGCCAGATTCAGCCAGCAGGTTCCAGATATGACGAACTACACATGTCTGGTTCCACTTTTTAAAATCCCTTATCCCCAATCCTCCTTCAACTTTTGGCAGAGCCACAAAGGACCATGCCACTAGAGATTTCTTCCTCATACTCGAGCCACCAACACCCCCACAAGAATTGGTTACATATCTTCTCAATGTCTTTCAGAATTCTTTGTGGCAGTAGGAATAAAGTCATCCAATATTCCATAATACTTGTAATAACAGAAGAAACCAGTTGTAGCCTACCAGCATAACTTAGCTTCTTTGCATGCCAAGTTCTAATTCTTTGTGTAATTCGATCAACAAGCACTGAGCAATAAACAGAGGAAAGCTTACTTGAGATTAATGGCACACCTAGGTAACGAACACGTAAGCATCCCAGAGGGAATCCAGTAAAAGAAGAGATCCATTGTTTTTCTCCATCAGGAATTCCACAACAAAACAGTTGGCATTTTGCAGGGTTACAACGAAGGCCATATTCAACATAAAACTGTGCTAACACTCTTTGTATATCAGCCACCCCTCGAATTGATCCATTTGTAAACACTAAGAGATCATCTGTGAAGCACAGATATGTGATCTCTAATGCTTTACAACGGCGATGGTAGGGGATGGTAACACCTTAGGCGAATCACACATCGACAAAGCACGGGAGAGATCCATGGTTCATAAGTAGGAAACCGGCCTTAACTGACAAGACGCGTTTTGGGGTGAAATGGAGGAGTTCTTGTGAGAACTCCGAAGTTAAACGTGCTTAGTGCGGAGTACAACAAGGATGAGTGACCTTATGGGAAGTCACCTTGAATTGCACCCCAAGTCGAAAACTGTGCGGGTGTAGAGGCCCAAAGCGGACAGTATCTTGTCGGGAAAAGGTTCGGGATGTTACATGTTGAGCAATTTTATGGCGACAATCGCTGCGATTCCAGCGCAGTTCCAGATCGGCTTCTTGGACAGCTTGGAGGAGGCGTGGGTGTCGTAAATCTCGGCGATGGAGATGTCTCCCGGGTGGACGGAAGGGCGATGGTGATGGAGACGTGATCTCCCAAAGCATCGACGACGCAACCTAGAAAATCGAAGTCGGGGCCGAGGTTGGTGACGGTGGCAGGGGCGAAGGTCTTCCTTCGCTAATGAACGTAGGCCTTCCTCCACAACTTTCTCCGTCGGCGATGCTTCTCGCTTTCCCAATCCGGCCGATGCTCCTGGGTTTCTGGTGGGCAATGCTTCTCGCTTCCCAAAATCCAGCCGAAGATCCGAGCATGCTCCAGCGACTCTTCGAAGTGGATTAAGAACCAAAGATTAGTGTGCTTAGGTTATGATTTCTAGAGGTTGTCTATAGTGGAGAAGGAATTAGCGGAAGAAGAAGAAATGGATTTGTTCGATCTCTTCCCTAGTTGCTTTATGGTTTTTTTTTTGTGTTAATCATATCAATTGGTGGGGACAGTAAATCGCCAACTTAGCATCTTCCGTTAGTCCAATCATACCGTGAACTGACACCGTTAACAAAATGAACAGAATTGGTTATTTTTTGTTTTGGAATAGTTATGGTTATATTTGTCACAAATGTGAAAGTTATGGCAATAGAGATGTATTTTGCCAAATTTTAGGGTAAATGCCACGTTTGGTCATTGGATTTACAAAAACTTGTCATGTTTAGTCACTGAAAAATTAATATCAATGTTGGTCATTCTAATTAGTAAAACGATCCACGTTTAGTCACTCTCCGTTAGTTTCTGTTAACACCGTTAGTCAATTGCTTAAGTGGTTAACAGAAGTGCTGACTCACCATTTTTTAACTCGTCAAATCACCAAACCCGACCTGCCACATCACTCAACCCGCCATGTCATCTTTCCTAACCCAATCCATAAACCCAACCAACCTATAAATCGACCCCTCTATCCCTCTCTCTCTCATCTTCGTCTGTCCAGAACCCACCTTTCCGGCGCTTTATCTTAATGCAGCTGCTGCTACTCCGCTTCAAGATCTGAACTTCCGCGCGGCGACGACTGTGCTGGCTTGTTGCCATAACCCCTCAGGCGGAACCTGTAGCAACCCATCGACCGATACGGAGGTCCCGGTCGACACCATCGACACTAGACCAACCTCTATAGTGTCACAGTTCACCGTAACTTGCAGATTCACAGGCCACGACCTGCCGTTGACTTCCAAGAAGGCGAATGCCCTTCTCTTGCTCCCTCCCTGTCTTGGCCCATCCCCCGACCCGGATGCGCTGCCCGACGAGCCCAGCTTCGCCGTCGGGCGAGAGACGATGGACCGGATCAGGACCCGATCGGAAAATGGATGCTTCAGGGCTAGCTCGGCCGTCGCTTCGTCGGTTAAGATAGTGCTGGCCAGCTCCGCCACCAGCGGCGACGTCATTGTGTCACCCATATTCTCTTTTGGCAGAGGGCTTTGAGGATTGGCTTTGGCGCGTTTGAAAAACCCTAACAACTGGTTTGGTGGTGTTTATCATTTGTTTATTCTCCTTGGGAGAGGGAATTGGTCACTGAAGAACGCAGTCCATGTGGGTGTGTGGCGGAACCTTCAACATCGATGGAAGTTATGATCTTGAGCAGCAGCAGCTGCGTTGAGATCAAGCGCCGGAAAGGCGGGTTCTGGACAGGCGAAGAGGAGAGAGGGATAGATGGGTCGGCTCATAGGTTGGTTGGGGTTTAAGAATTGGGTTGGGAAAGATGACATGGCGGTTGAGTGACGTGGCGGGTCGAGTTTGGTGATGTGGCGGACGAAAAAAGAGTGAGTCAACACTTCTGTTAGCCACTTAATCAATTGACTAACAGTGTTAACAGAAACTAACGGAGAGCGACTAAACATGTCATGTTTTACTAATTCGAGTGACCAACATTGATATTAATTTTTTCTAGTGATTAAACGTGACACATTTTAGTAAACACAATGACTAAACGTGACATTTACCCAGGGCATTGCTATTCGTCGCCCTAAAATACCTTATTCGTCGCCCTAATTTTTATCAAAACGACTCAAATGTCCTTAGTTTAGTTTGTATCTCATCTCTATTTCCTATTTTCAGAGGACTTTCCATATCCGAGCATTTTTCGTACCCGCCGCTGGAACCAGCGGATGGATTGAAAACTCATTTCCGGCGAGTTGGGAACAGGTCGGCTTTATTGCTGGTCGGCTGGCTGAATCCCTTTCCCTTCCAATTATATGATATGCATAGGCACATAGCTAATGTGGAGTGTGGACGGCTGCAACTGCAAAGCATAAAGCTGTATTTTTTCCCCGATGAATATAAAGTTGTCTTTCTCCAATGGAATCAGATTACTGCGAATGGTTTAACCAAGAAAAGGAATTCTAAGGAATCCAAAGACATTATTTAATGAATCATATATACAGAGAGATCCAAGTCTTTGACCACTCTTTATCATATTGCACATATATTTAATCAGTAGAATCCGGCAGCAGCAGTAGAATCTGGCGGTGGTCAGTTGTTGATGAGAGGAATCTGGTAGCGGCAGCAGCGACCGGAGGATAGAGGAGCTCGGCGGTGGCTGGCAGGGTAAGAGACTGTTCGTAGGTTTTGGTTAGAAATTGAGACAGGAGGGTAAAAAGGTCAGTTAGGTGCATTTTAGAGCGACAAACTTTGAATTTTAGGACGACGAATAGCGATTCAAAAAATATAGGCCAACTTCATGCGAACATGTTGAAAGATGGTTAGCAAAAGAAAGCTAAGTTGTCTAATGCTTGGCCCGCCCAACTAGAAACTAGTAGAACTAGACTTGATAAAAAGAAGAGTTGGACCTACAAGTCTAGTTAGGTCAAATGGTTGCAGACTCCTCTCTGTTAGTTATAGGCACGGTAGCCGAGTTGAATTGTCTAATAAGTATTGCTTCAAGGCAAGTTCAGAAAAGAAAGGGAGAAACAGGGATAGTAGTCAGAACAACAGAACAACTAATGTGCTGCTGCTAACGCATAAATTGAGATCTGTCTTGACCTCTCTCTCTCTCCCTCTCCCCCACAGGATACTTTCTCAAACGCTACTCTCTTTGTGAATGAAAGAAACAGAAACCCAATCGGCATACAGTCTCCTGTGAACCAAAAGAAAACAGTCTTTTTTTTATGATATTGGTTTTGGTCCTCTTCTATTTGTTCTCAATAGCCAGCTACTATTATATGCTAGAACTGTTCTTCCTTCCATTTTACCATCATGACAAAATGCAAGAGGGAGTAGGCAGTAGCATCGCATGTGTATGGATACAATGTATGTCCTTTGATAAAAGTAGGTGGTCTCATGTGTCTTTCTCGATGGGGTGGAAAGTAAGTAAGCAAGCATTAAAAATCAGCTACTAACATGAATTGACAACTGATTTTGGAGCAAAGCAGACAACACAACAGCAGCAGCAGGCATTGCATAGAAAGAGGGGTAAAATGGGAGAGCCAAAAAGGCACCAGACCATCCTCTATCCTCCAGTTTATTAATAATGGCCCGAAATACTAAACTTTCAATTTACAACAATTGATACTGCTCTTATTAATTGAAAAAGCCAATAATTGCAGGCCAGCTGTGGGAGGCAACGACTACCCTTTACTTCATTCTGAGCAACAACGATCAATACTATTTTGTTTCTTTCTAGTACAATGCCATATGCCTAGGCTATGTATTGATGCAGCCAGCCTCCTCTGCCTCTCGTTCCTTTTACTGATGAGTCTCTACTCAGCAGTTAATATGCAGCAGTGGGCACAAGAGAGAGAGAGAGAGAGAGAGAGAGAGAGAGAGAGTTCCTTCGTTGCTCCCGAGCCCCTGCCATGCCGCCCTATATTGCCACCAGCTGTGAACCTAACAGACTCTACTGCTTCTTATGATACATCTATGTCTATAGCTTTCTGACCAACTACTTCAGCTATTCTCTTTTAGCTTTTCCTTTCCTTTCTTCTTCTCTCTTTCTCTCTGGCTCTTCTCTTTCCCTTAGCTGTCCACCCGCGTGATGCTTTTCTCTTTTTTAGTTACTGTTCCAAGAGGTGGGTTATTGTCTTTATGCTTCTCTTCATTTAACACCTGTCTCAAATGCACCCCAATCCTCCCCTCTATATATTTGCCTCTAACCCCTTCACTGCTTCTTTAAAGAGTCTCCTAAACCTAACCCATGTGTCTATTCTTTACTTCCTTCTCCTTGCCATTCTACTACTGCCTTGTTGTTTGCCTTAGAATCACAATCGTCACTCTAGGAAGAATGTAACCTGCTCTGTAGTTCCTTCTATATAGGAGATGTGGAGTGCTGTTGCAGTTGTTTCTTGATGTGTTTCTTTAAATAACTTCTGCAACATGGAACTCAATGCAATGTATATAGCTATACCTTCATCGTTTACAATCTTCACTCCCATATTGATAAATTCTTGTACTTGTGTGTTCCCATTTTCTAAAAAGCCCTGCTATGATCATTCCATCCTCCCTCCTCCAATCTAGCCAAAGGAGGGATATCCATGTGGGTGGAGTTGACTTTATTTTTCTGGGTTTTCTGGACATCGATAATATTCATCGAAGAAGCAAGTCCACAAGGGAAAAAGTGAAGCTGCCAGCATGATCTAGCTTTGGCTAGTTGCTAAAAATAAAAAGAGCTAGCTAAGCTAACCCTAGCTAGGTCATGCTCTGACAGCCTCATTCATTCCCAATTGGGGATCCAGGGTTGATGCGGATTCCTGTTCCCTATCAGTTATCACCATACATATAGACAGTCACGTTGATGGTTACCAGAAAACAGGAGGTACACAGTAACAAACAAATCATTGTATTTATATAAATATTCCCTTCCAAGTTTTCCCCCATGGGGGTTGTCTGCCATGCGTATACTTTTCAACTGTTTCTTTCCCGTCTTTCTAATGTGGCTTTGTCTCTTTCAGTTTGCTCGCCATACTGTGTTCTGTTTCTCTTTGTTCTTCTGTAGCATGGCCAGGGGAATGAACGCACGTAGTGCAACGAGCAATCTCAGGTTGCTGTGAGGATGGTATGTTAGTTCTGGAAATGGCAGTGCCACCCATGAAGGAAAAGAACCAAGAAGAAGGCCCAGACGGTTATGTTCCAAAAAAAATAAAGAACTCGGAAGATATACTGACTGGTACTTCGAAGTACGAAGTTTCTTTCCGCGCTGTAATAATCGAAGTGATGTGGATGGAGTTAACTGGTTGGAATTGTTTTTTCTCTGTTTTCTTTGTGCAAATGTTTAATGTGCAACTTCTTGTCGTTTTCATTAATTCGTCTCAGATTTCGTTCAACTGGACTCGCTCTAATATCATATTTTCGTGGAAAACAGTTGATTTTTGCATGCCTTCATTTATGCAGCTGAATTCATTAGGATTTTTCCCCCAAATAAATACAGTAAAAATAAAATAAATTCCTACAACATCACTTTTATAAAAAAAATTCAATTTGCCATAGTTTAATGCAGATCAAGTTTTCAGATCGATTGCGCCATAATTGATCCACGTACATAAAGTGGAACGACCACGATTGGCTGAATCCCGACGAGGTGGATCTAGTGTAAGAAACTCAATCAACTTTGATTGAGGTAGTGGGACATGAAACACATGACCTAGATCGATGACCTGGAACTTGTTGCACCATTGATCAAGTGAGCGAAACTCCATCCATCCAGTTTGATTTTCTATGCCGTGAACTAGGGATGGCGCGGATCGAGTGTAACAAACTTGATGGGAGTAGATCGTCGCCTTGGAACTCGGTCCAGTTGACGCGCATCGATGACATGGGACGTGATCTACTGTAGATCGAGTTTCCAGAACTCAATTTGGCCCGTTCGATTTGCCCTCACGCGAACAACACTTTGACATGGATCAATGGTAGAGAACTCGATGCACTAGTTTGAGTTTCCTTCACTCGATCCACTACCACACAGAACCTATAAATACCCACCCCGCATTCCACCAAAACTCACCCCACTCCTCTCTTCTTCCTCTCTTACTTCCACCACTCTTGAAGAAAAAAAATATGTTATGTGGTTGCGGCTAAACCCGATCTTCCGCGTCAAATTTTTTTCTTTGGTTTGGTACCTTTATCACTCAAAATTGCCGAGATGGACCCGAGTATTTACGATTCTAGATTGTACATTCAAGGCGGACCGCGAGAAACCGTTTTGTTGAATGAGCAACCTTACCATCGGTCTGAAAGTGTTTTGGCGGCAGACCCGTTAAGCATTTCTTCATGTACTTTTTTCTCTTTAAATGCGATATTATTCTTTTAATTTTTTCGTATAATAATTAAGGGTTTTTCTTCTACATGAACAAATTAACGTAATCACTCATCGGTCCCTATCTCGCTTGCCTAAATGGGATGTTTGGATCGAGCCCTTCATTGAAAGAGAGGGATTGCTGAGAGATGATGATTACGTTGAAGGACGTGGGCATGCTGACAGAGCTTCCAATCAATGGTGATGCCATGATAGAGAGTTCACATAAACCATTGAATGGTTGGGGCCAATTCATAAGCGAGCATTTAGGCATCAACGTCAGCGAGAAAGCACCACAAGGTCGTCGTGTACCACCTCTACACAAGTCTATGCTATCGAGCCCTTGGCTAGTGAGGACCTTTGGTACGTTGCCGGAGGATGCCACGGATGCTCAGATAGAAAGGTATGCTCGCATCTACCTGATTTGTTTGGTTGGAGGATTTTTATTTTCGAACAAGTTTGGTGGAAATATGCATTGTATGTGGCTCCGAGTTCTTTTGGGAGATTGGGAGAAAAAGTTGGGGATCGGTTTGTTTGACGATGATATATGCGGTGTTGTGCTAGTGTACGGACCCGAAAACAAAGCAAGCAAGTGGTGCCATGTTCATCCTCCAACCATCAACTTGGATTACTGGCAGACAATGAGTGAAACCATCAATACATGGTTTGAATGCCCAAAATAGTCAATTAAACACACGTTTAGCACCACCTCCATAATCTTCGTAAATAGGCACAAAAACGGATCCATGATTCTTGTCAACCATTGCAATAATCAAACGAGGCAGGTAAGCAAATGACTCTTCCCAATCGCCAATTCGCCATACACCTCTGCCATAGCCTCTTGCTTTCCATGCCGTGCTTTCTTGTACGTGATGGTATAGCCATGTCGATTCTTCACTTGAGCGATGACACTCTTCACGGTGATCTCAGGTTGTTCCTCAATAATATATTTGATTGTATGTCCAACCTTCCTTGCATTCAACTTTTGGTGATCCAGAGAAATTAGTGACAACCTACACATGTGGTTGTTGTCTGTCTTACGAATGAGCCAAGCCCCATTTCTTTTAGGGCTAATACCACTACAACACCCGAACTATGACAAAAATGCCACTTGTGTCCTATTGTTTTCGATATTCCATTAATATCCTGAACTATATAAGTTTGTGACATTTGTGTCATGACGTCTAACGTTGACCGTTAGAGATAACTGTTGACCGGACGGAAGTCAAACTATTGTTGACTTTCGCTGATGTGGCATAAATGTGACATCCACCTAGATTCCACATCATTGACATGTCATTATTTAATAAAAAATTATATTAAATTATAATAGGAAAATAAAAAATTATTAAAAGTAAAAAATAAAAAATTAATTATTGGGATCTCTTCCTTTCCCATGTCTTCGCTCCGCCTTGTCTTATGTCCACCTTCAATCCACCCTAGAAATCCACAAAACCCTTTCATCTCGGGTGCTTCGACCCGAAAGCTTGATAATTAAAGAGATTTCCCCAAATCATTATTGAGAGAACACCGACAAGGGGAGATCATGAAGAAATTACAGGAAAGGGATAGAGTGACGGAAGGAGGAAGAGTACTTCGAAGTGCTGCTGGATTTTGCGGGGATCGATAAGGTTTCCCTGGGCGCCGACGCCATGGTTGATTATGTTCGGGCGCTGGTACATGTTGGAGAGGAGAATGGTGGGGCTGACGCTGGACTTGGTATGGAGCCTGGAGCACCGGTCGCCATGGCGGAAAGCTATGATCTTGAAGTAGAAGGGGCAATATGTTCGATTTTGTTTCGAACCCAGACCTTGGGAGAGGGAAGGGGAATGGAGGAGTAGCTACGACAGAACCGAGAGCGACGGCGGGTGGATGGTGGTGGTGAAGCGGCTGAAGGACGGGTGGACTATTGTATTTGTCATCCCCATGCTCCCCTTCCCAACATCTCCGTCAATGCCTTGAGCAGATCCCCCAATTCGAACGACGACGGTTGATCCCTCTCGCCGTCGTAAAACACCAGCTTGCTCCTCTCCACCCTGTTGCTCTCGATTGTGAAATGGGAGTCTGGGAATGAAGCCTTGACCTCGCTCCCGACGTTGCCGACAACGATGATGAAAGAGCGTTTTGGCGGCCTGATTAAATGGATCGGAGAAGAGTCCCCCAAATCGAATCATTTACGGATCTGTCTTTGTTTTTTATTTTTGTAATATTTTTCTTAGATTTTTCAAAAAATAATTATAAATTAATATTATAAATTCCACGTAAGTGATGACATGATATTGAAAGCTCCTTCGCATCGCAGTTTTTTTCAATGCATCGACCACCTGAGGCTTTCCTCCAAATGTTTGACCAACCATGAACCCCCGAATCAGGAGTCCAGATGGGTATAGGAGGGAGGTCAGGATCGTCGTTGTGAGCATAGAGAGAATGTTGTAGCACCATCGTGTAGTGAGGTGTGGGGGGCTCAAATTCCCCCTCATCAACTTTCACATCTTCACCATCTGGACTACTCACTGATTCTAAATCTTCCTCTTCCATGTCGCTTGCCTCGCAAGTGTACGAAGGACTTGGTTTATCCACATATGGATCATTGTTGATGCCAGATGCTTGTCTAGGTGCCTATCTGGGTGCCCTTATGTAATCCCATTCTTCACCCCATACTGGTCACTCCTGTCCATCATGTTCAACCAATGGAGTAGGGGCAGTTCGATACTCGTATCTTGACCATGGTACATGATCCGGACATCCAAAATCTCCAGAACTAGAAACTCCACCCGATCCTTCACCTTGTTCAGTATAACCCCCACCACCATATTGGCCAACATCTTCAGTCTCGACATACAACTCGGCAATTGTAAATCTGTTTTCTGCAATAAATCTCACCATCATATTGATGTCATCATCATCCGGCAGAATTGATCTTTCATTTACAAGTGCATATCCTTTGTAAACCGGCATACGATAAGTCATCTTGCATACTTTTCGCGCCCTATGCAACATCGTTCCGCACAAATGTGGCAGAGATCTTGCCAAGTAAATACGCTCTCAATCTGGACAATACTTGATTCACCATCTTCATAATCAATACTATTCTGAAAATATGTAATTCGACCATTCCACCGAATCAATAGGTCAAATTTTCGAAATTTTCTACCCATTTCTGCAGTTTATAGAAACAACTCATTACATATAGTTCAAACAATACTAAATTAATTCGAAATTCTAATGCTCACTCACCAACATAATCAAAACTTAACTCCAAAATGCTTCTTCTTTGCTTAGCTATGGTGTCCAATGGCAGATTGTGTTTGGAAGAAAGAAGATAGAAAGTATATGAGCTGCAAGAATGTGTTGAGAGCTTGGTTTTTATTTTCGTAAATTGACGACGTGGTTCGAGGCCTTGTCAATTGAACTAGTGTAGTTCGAGTGCAAAGAACTCAATCCCACAAAAAATCTTATCCTTACACCCTATCCTGAAGCATGTCGGGCGGAAATGGACTTGGCAGAATTATTGGAAAGTGGTTCGAGCCTCAAGCACTCGAACTACACGCAGATCGAGTCCATAATCCTCGATCTAGTGCCACCATTAATCGTCATGCAGTAATTCATATGGATAGAGTCATAGAGCTATGATCAACGTAGATCGACTCGAGCAAACTCAATGTAGTGCGGATCGAGTCCGGCAACATCGATCCATGTAGACCGAGTTTTTTGTCATCGATCTGCATTTGATCGAGTTTTTATCATCGATCAGGTTTTGATCGAGTCTTTAAAATTCGATCTAGTATGTGGATCGATTTTAGGAAACTCGAACTATGCCAAACTTTGGTATTTTGGGAAATATTTTTAAAAGTTATGTATTTTAGGAATTCTTTTTAATTTCTACAGTATTTTGGGAAAAACTCCGATTCATTATGATCTTTAGTTCTCTTATAGTCGAATATGTCGTACAATTTGGGTTTAAATGGAAAAAATATTTCAAAAAACAACCCATACACTAAATTTTTAAAAACAACTTGTGATTTGCTGCACTGTTCAGTAATTTAGCTAGCGAATCACTTCAAATAGGAGGGATGTAGATTGATTGCTTAAATCTCGACTTATTTGAAGGTGGATCGCTCCAATCAGAAACGAATTGCTACTACTATATGTTGAAACTTTAGAAGATCGTAACTATGCACTTTGATATCCGAATTTCATTACTTTTCATGAGCTACAAGTTTTATTAGGAAATAATTTTAAAAATATTTTGGAATTGAAGGGGGAAAAAGCTCTAACATTATACTAAAGACCACTAAAATGCAAAAATATTATAGTAGATCATAACTTTGTTTTTTGATCGAAGTAATTTTTTATTTCACATAAAATTTCGAGATCTATGCATGCAGAAACGCCTAAGCTATTTATTCTGCATTCATATTCAAATAAGGTCGTTTGATGTCTAGTATGGATCATCTTGTGAATTTGCTAAACTTTATATAGTTGTTATTTTGTGCTATGACATCCGCTTGGGGAATTTTTTTTACTTTGCATAACTTTTCAAGTACGATATCTTTTATTATAGGACGAATTTTAAAATAATGCATATTTTTTATTTTAGCAATGTTTAGTATAGTTTTAGAGCTTTTCCCAATTTTGAGCATAGATTCTCAAAATTATTTATAATAAAAGTTTTAGTTTCAAAATTTATGCAAAAAATGTTGTGTCGATCGGATAACTGAGCGCAAAGTTAAAATCTATTGAAGTTCCGACGCATATTAGTAGCAGATCGCTCTAGTCTTAACCGATCCATCTACAAATAGCTCTAGAATTAAACGATCCACCTAGATCGTTGTTGTCTAAAGCGATATGCTTCTCAAATTCTTTGAATACTGCAGCAAACTACCTCAAACTTATTGCATTTTGGAAAAAATTTAGTATACATGTGGTATTATGGGAATTTCTTTAGTAAGTCTTATATTTTTGGGAAAAATCCAAAAATTGGTTAGTTCTCACCTTCATTGAAACTTGAAACTAACATTTTTGTCTCAAGGAAAAGTAAGGTTCATATAGTTGTTATTGGATTTTGTATAGCACAACTAGAGTTTCTTATCTAAAAAATATTAAGAATCATAAATAAGAAGCAATAAATGCACCCATATGCTTTTGCAAAAGATATGAAGCAAATGATGTGTAAAATGTATAACCCTATAAAATCCCGCATCTTATAACTATGATAAAACAACATACCAGTATGGTAAGAAGTTTTACCACTATGATAATACATTGTACCATCATCATATTACATCCTAATGATACATACTTATTTATACATATTTTGACCCTGATTTCTTGATCTTTTCTCGACCATTTACCCTAGAAACGCCCTATCATTTGCTGATTTTATGTTAGGTTGTGTTCTTTTGCCATATTTCAGGTCTTACCGTGTGGTTAGGGCTTGGGAGCGAGTTTCGGTTCATTTGGGGGCCAAAAAGGAACCAAATGAGGACTCAAAGGATGCGTATTGGTTTGGAATATGTGGAAACTTGAGCAATAAACTTTCTTGAATAGGACAAATACCGAGGAAGAAAACAAGTATTAGCGGCCAAAGAAACCAAGCCTGATGCCTTAGTTTCTCCCCTGGAAAAAACAATGACGGTGGAGCAGGAAGTTTCTGCCGATTGTAGATATTAACGGAGATAGAGACGCGCTCGGCGCCGGAATCGTGAGCTTGCTCAGCGTAGCCTTCTGGTTGCCCTCAACAAGCTGGGCATCGAAAGTGGACATCTTCACGAGATGAAGGAGATCGACTGAGCTGCAGTGATATAAGCAACATCGGATGATGATTTGCCTGGAATGACAACTCGGCAATGGAAAGCGAATCAGAACTGGCAGCGATAATGCTGCGACGAATAATACTCTGGTACCATGAAGAATTTCATAACACGAAATTCACTGTCAAAAGAACTGATTTGAGCATGGAGTAGTTTCATTATTTGTCTACTTCTCCCGTAAGCGAACAAAGTCACAGCATGTTGGATCGTCATTGCCAGCAATAGGTTGTTTGAGTGTTGTTCAGTTTCAAACTCGACATTCTTGTCGTTCATGTCTTCGCTTGAGGGGGAGTGTTGTGGATATTAATTACTTGGACTAAGTAATTAATATCTGCAACATTGTTGGTATATGGATACCCGCCTGTTATCCGCGGGTATAGGTATGGTAAGAGATATAACTGTTATCCGCGGGTATAGGGATGATAAGAGATATAATATTCATTCCGTCATATGGTACCCCCCCCCCCCCAAAAAAAAATATTGTATATGAATGAGTATGGATAGTCGTTATCCAAACTCAATCTGATTGGTAGCCAACCCAGCTTCTATGTGCCCCTTGTGGGTTCCTTCCCTATTCCTTTGTGTGAGTTATGTTTTTGCTCCTCTACTCTGTTCACTAGATCGAGAGATGATCCGATCTAAGTGACATTTTTTTTTGACAAAAGATAATCTTATATTGATTAGAGCAAATAGATAGTTACATCCTAGAATTCAACCAGGTCTGGAAATCAAAATAACGACATGTAGACGAGAACAAAGACAGGGCCTTCCTAGCTACCAAATGAGCTACCCTATTGCTACCCCGACCTACAAATCGCACACTGAAGCCCGGATTGATCGCAAAACTCTGCACCACCTCCTCCAAAACCGCCCCAACACGACTATCCCGCACATCACTTTGCCGGATTTCATCAATGACCACCTTGGCATCACCTTCAAAGTGCATCACCGAAAACCCTCGTTACGAACACCAGCGGACAGCCTCTCGGAGAACCAGTAATTCTACC